ATCTGTTCATCTCTGCCAATAGCTCAGATTGTGCTCTATATGCTTCCCACGGTGCCTTCCTATCAAATTCCTGTGGCTTCCTTCGTACTGGATCACCCCTATTGCTGACATTCATATCTGGGATGTGACTTCTAACAAGACTGAATATGTCTGCATTAGGGTTTAGCTGCGGGGTCTGGAAGGGGCTGATTAAGTCAATAGTTAATGTATCCTCCTTGTGTAAAAGACCATAAATCATCCTTTAATGTATCTAATTCGCTTTTAACTTTACTAATGTTTTCCATTTGTACTTCTTGCCACTGTTGTTGACTTTCCTGTAGTTGCTGCTGACTTTCCTGCAACTGTTGGAGACTTTCTTCCTGTTCATTTTCTTTCTCCTCCAACCACTGCTGTAGTCTCTCTTCTTGTTTATTTTCTTTCTCCTCTAATAGCTGTTGTAATATCTCTTCTTGTTTATTTTCTTTCTTCTCCAATAGCTGTTGTAATCTCTCTTCTTGTTTCTTTTCTCGTTCTTCTTGTTTCTTTTCTTTTTCCTGCAATAGCTGTTGTAATCTCTCTTCTTGTTTCTTTTCTCGTTTTTCTTGTTTCTTTTCTTTTTTCCTCCAACAACTGCTGTAATTTCTTTTCTGGTTTCTTTTCTTTTTCCTCCAACAACTGCTGTAATCTCTCTTCTTGTTTATTTTGCTGTTTGAGCTGCCACTGTTGCAGGTTTTCTTGCAACTGCTGTTGTCTCTCTTCTTGTTTCTTTTCTTTTTCCTCCAACCACTGCTGTAATTTCTCTTCTCATTCTTCTTGTTTATTTTCTCGTTCTTCTTGTTTCTTTTCTTTTTCCTCCAACCACTGCTGTAATTTCTCTCCTCATTCTTCTTGTTTCTTTTTTTTTTCCTCCAAGAGCTGTTGTAATTGCTCGTCTTGTTTCTTTTGCTGTTCTTGTATTGCTGCCATCAAATCTGCTAAGCTGTAGTTTGATTTGCCACTTCTCGTTTCCATTTTTTTTTTGTCCCACTCTCTGACACCAATTTGTTACGTCTCCGTTCGTTAGTTAATTTTCAATAAAAATTCTTTCAGAAGAAACTTTTGCGACACAAGTCCTTTCTTAAATAAAACTGGTTTGTTCTTTCTGAATACTACTTTGCAATACACTTAATTTCCACAGTCGCGCTATAACAAACGCTATAATTCACAAAGAAAGTCTCGCGTGCTCGACTCAACTGTCAATTACACAATGTTGCCGTCAGTTCTTGGCAGCTTATATATACAAGACTACTGCATATCTAGTAAAAGCTTGAGACTTCACGAACCTTTGAGAATATGACGTGTTACTAGCGTCACGTGACCCTCGCTGTCGTAACAGTACTTTCTATCTGTTGGAATTAAAAATGAAACTTAGTCATAAATTATTTACTTGAAAATGTGTTATCATACTAAACAAAGGGTAGTTAAAAAGTATCATTAAAATAAACCAAAACAAGCTGAACATAAGAAGATTAGGCTCATGATGATAAATGATTAACAATTCCAATAATCACCCAACCCTAGTCTTAGTATAAGAATTTATGTGAATATAATAATGCTTACTATAGAAAATTGTATGTAGTGGGCAAGTTGATTAATTCAGATTTATCTAAAGCCTTGCAAAGTCAAAACTGATCTGTTCCAACCAAGTGATTAGGACTAAAGCAAATTATTCTTTTTAATCACATCATGAATAAATTAATAGAAAGAGTAGAATGCTGTATAATGAATCTAAAGTTTCCTGTATAAATATTACTATGAAATGAAACTAATTGTACACTGAATTTAGTATATTTATTACAATTTAATGTAATATGTTTTTCATGTTACGTATAGTCAAAGTGTACTGATTTAAATTGATTTATTACAGTTTTCATTTTTTGGAAGAAATGTAGAAGAAATCCCATGTTTCAAGAGTTCTTTTATGACAGGAATATTAAGTGGATTTGGAATTGGAATGGCACATTTCCTGGCAACTAGTGAGTTATTGTTAATTTCCTTATGTATTTTGTAGCTCTTTTGTATTTACGTTGGTGGGTGTTATACAATCAGTAAGATAGATGGCTTATTATAAGTAACACAAACTGTATAAAGTGAGTAAAATTCTGTATTAGCAACTCAGCTGAAATCATTACAATATCATTTAGTGAAGTATGATACAAATGAAAGCCAACATGGATTTAACAAAATAGATTCTTACCTTACAAATCTATTATGTTTTTTGCAAATGTAACTTATTATTTAGACAATGGAATGGGTAGGAACTTTGTGTACTCAAATTTTCAGAAACCTTTTATAAGGTGCCACATAAAATATTAGTTAAGAAAATCACATTGGCAACTGTTGGGGAAAACATAATTTCATTGTAGAGTTATTGGGTGGGGAAAAAAGCAAAATTAACATTTGAAAAGCAATGTCAGTCCATTGGACCGAGCACATTTCTTTAAAGCTATACATACTATAACTCAGAATTTACTACAGGTATCTTCACAAAATTGGGCAAGCCCTTTGTAAGCATTAAGTCTTTTATACTCAAAAAATCAGCTATTTCAATGAAGTATCTGAACTAAAGACTTGTTTGTAAATTTCCAAAGCCTTAACTGAATCAATTAGAATGAATGATCATTTTAATAATAAGAAATAAAAAATAAAAATAAATACTTCTTTTCATATTCCAGTTTTTGTATTTTATTAGCATTACATAACCTTTAGAACCTCCTAAAGTAATATCAAAGATTTTTTTCTGTAAAAAGTTTATATTTTATCTCTTATTTTCTCTACCCTAACACTAACTGTAGCAGAATCATCAATGTATAGTGAAATTAAATATTGAAGAATATGAAATATAATGAATAATGCTAATTTTTCCCCTGCACTGATTGCAGTATTGATTGGAAGGTTCCAAGTTTCAACTACTAACATTTTCATTTTTAATTTTATGATTAATTGCTGTCATTTGTAGTTGTACCCAAGGAAGTTGTAATTGCTGTGTTGAAAGCAATAAACCTCAGTGGGAGTCCCTTATCTGTTTTCTGTACAGCTAAAGTAAACACCATGTGATTGTGAGATGTCCTGTTACACAGGCTCAAGCTAGCATAATTTTAGACATTTTATCTAAAGTTTTTCTTAAGTTAAACTGAAAAGTTTGTCATTTTTAGATATTATTTAAGTTTCTTCAAAAATATACATAAAAAACAAGGATTTCTAGTATTCATTGATATTCGAGGCAATTTGCACTTGAGTAAGCATTCTTCTGTAAGTCTCATTGAGTCTCACAAATTTGGGTGTACAAAAAAATTCATGACGCTCTCGGGTTTGTACTTTACAAAAAATATATCAATTATTAAAATAGAATGTTCCAAAACTATTATGATTTATCTGATTTTCTAAGTAAACTATTAATTGGTTTAAAAAATTCTGTTAGCTGTTCATAGCAGCAATATAATGATCTTACAGCTAAAGGTTTTGGTCAAGTGAATAACATAGGTGCCAAAACTAAACAACTGATAACTAGCATCCTGTAAACAAATTCTGCTCTTCCTATTGGTTATAAGCATATCTGTTTGCCAAATAAAGCTGGTTAGCAAGCAATGATGAAAGTCAAAGTGAGTGGTGGGGCTTCTCTGGTGGTTTTGACAACTGTATTGATATCTGAGTAAATCAAGAACGTATAGACACAAATGTTACATTCTTGTTTGTAATTATGTGTAGTTTGTGTTTTTAATTGTAAGAAATCTACAGCAATGTATATTTGACATTACAAAATTTTTAAAAGGGAGAAAGCAGAGCTCGTATATGTCTTGTGACACTTTTTAATATCTCTTTTTTTATTATATATATATATATATATATACATATATATATATATATATTAAGAAGTTAGATCTTGGATAATATAAAATGTTTAATGGTGACTTAATGTTTTCCTGTCAAGTTTAATGATTTACATTGGTAATAAAGTGGTTTAATTAAATTTTGAATTTAACACTGTAAAAGGTCATGGCATGCACACTTCGACCCAGCCATAGCAAAAGAGTTAGTGCTGTCCAGTCAGTTTAGACCCTTGTTGCTAGTAGAGTGCCTCGGAGGTTAGTGATGTGGTCTTTGGTTTTCTTATTTACAGTAATATTGATAGAGGCATAATTAGTAAACAAGTAAAGTTTACTGATGACATTTAAACTCTTGGGTATTTCTGGCAATATTGAGGATGTTGAGATGCTACAAACTTAAATCACTTGGCAAATTGGACATATATTTAGCAAGTGATCTCTTGTTTTTCATATGTTCTAAGTAAAATGTTGTATTAGAGAAATCTGAATGCAGTATTAAATTTATATGGTGTGTAAGAAACATTAATAATTGAGCAACACTATGGTATTTATGTATATGATCTACCAAAATCTGGCTTTTACTATAATAAAACACTTATAAGAAAATTCTAAAGATGTTATGTTCATATTCCATTGTATTTTAAAGTAACTATTATTAATACATGTAATACAGATTGAAGAGATGTGCATCATCAAGTTTGAGATTGTCATCATTAGGAATGCCTGTCTGAAGAGTAGTCATCAAAGTAAAAAAATGTTAGGACTTTAGAAGTTTATACCATAAAAGTAATTTCGATGAAGAGGAACCCACTTTGAGACTAATAATGGCTGGAGACGGCTTGAATGGGTAATGAAGAAAAACTTTAATATAACAGCAAATGTACAACGTTTCGACGTTTTTCCTTACCTGATGATGACAAAACCTGGTCAAAACATTGTACATTTGCTGTTAGATTAAAGTTTTTCTTCGTTACCCATTCAAGCCGTCTCCAGCCATAAAAGTAATTTGTAAGCTAACTTTTGCACTCTTCAGCAAATAATTTGCCTCTTTACTTTCCATATGTGGACTCAGTCATTTTGGCCAACCTTGTAACCACCATGTATCCATGAAACTATACATATTGTATCTTTTAATATAGTATATTTTCATGAAATTGGCAATCTTCTTAGTAAACATTCTACGCCTTTTGTACATAAAAACATATTTTTTTGATTAAGCGTTTTTACTAAAGATTTATCTGGAAACATATGAAGCCTTTACTGAGTCAGTCCAAGTGCAAAATGATTTTCATACTAAGAATAAAAATACTTTTTTCACCTTACAGTTTTCATATATAATTTTCATAGCCTCTAGAATATCCTAAATTAATATTAACCTGTTAGGTGTGTACTTTTGTTTCAGTCAGATAATTCAGGTTTAGAGCCAGAATCATCAGCTTACACCAGTTCAATTGTCTCTTGAAGTGTGAAAACACTGAAGCAATTTGATGCCATTTTGGGTCTGTTTTCTTAAACAAATTAAAGAATTTTCAACTGCAAGAATTACCAATGTTTTGATTAGCAACATATGCCATATTAGATACAAATCGATGGCTGAGATCATAATCTGTGCACATTAGGCTTTGTCTTTTGTGCACACGTTTTGCATTTCTAGAAGGAAATTCAAACCACATTATGGCTATGGGCTTGCCTAAAGGGTTACAATTTTTTATGTATCAGGTAATTACATACTATTCTCAAAACAAAAGCAAGTACTTTTATAATCACCCGGTCATTTAGATTCATTGCTTTACTTAGAATACTGCAAAAAGCAATTTATCAGCATTCTCCATCCAATTACAGCTTGTTGCACTCACAATGTGTGCTATTATGAACATTTTTTGTTTTTTGACCTAATAAGTTTATAATTTTAATATATTAAGTACTTTTATAATAAAAGTAAAATATATACACAAAAAATAATAAACTTAGTACTTGTGTATGGGTCTTGTATATTTTCAAGTCTTTGCTCTAAAAGTTTCAACAAAAATTAACACTACTTTTTTGGTAGGACTTTATATAATTTCTATTTATTTCAAATATGCAATTTAGAACACAAGATAGTAACATGCAAAAAATTACAATGGCCTAAAACTGACATAATTTAACTGCTTTCTAACTGAGTTATAAATAGTTTGAAATATATCCATTAGCTTGTAGCAGTGACCTTGCTGATAACAACAATAAAACTGTAGTAGGCTGAATAATTTAAAAACTGTCATCAGAATAAGATAGCCTTATAGGGAATTCAGTAAACTAAAATATTTTTTTTCTATTGATTATTTTGTGAAAGACAAGATGTGATAAGAGGGCACAGCACATAGGTTTGACTTTCTGGTTTATATCTCAGTAAAGGAAGAAGATTGGGGGCTACAAGTGTATAATTTATACCAAAAACAGAAGGTGATATAGGGGTGGATAAGTAATCTAAAATGGTCAATTCAGAACAAAGAAGTATCATGTGGTACAGAGAAATGAAGCTTCAGAATTTATTCAATAACATAATATTATATAATATTAGAATTTTAATTATGTAGTACATTTTGATACCAAGTTTTGACATATGTTGATAATAAAGTAGTTTATCTAACTTTTGAATGTAACTGTGTAAAAAGGTTGTTACATGCACACTTTGACCTATCCATATCCAGCAGATCTTTAGAGTTTGTTTTGTTTTAAATCTTTATGTAGCCTATAAAAAATGAAAATATTCTTTATTCTACAAAAATAAAAGTGTATTAAGATTTAAATTAAGTTGTGGGTAAAGGGTTATATTGATGCTGATTGTAAAATTAATATCATGAGGAGTGTGATTTCCTCTCATTAATGGTTGGATTGGTATATGTGAATGAAGGTTTTTTTGTCAAGAGTTGCAGATTTTATTCAACGTTTTGTAACATTTCTCTTGTTTTTTTCTTTATTCTTTTAGGTCGAGTGAAGCGCTCAGCAGACTTTGGTTTTTACTCTTTCATTACAATAACTTTGGTATACTGGTAAGTTTTATTTTAATTCTATTTATTGTTATATTTTCATATTTAGTACCCCAAAAAGTTATTGCAAATAATGTATCATTAATTTCTGAAAATTTAAGTCATCTATATAACACTCAGTACATCATTTTTCTTTAATGTTAGCTTTTAACATAGCATTAAAACCTTTTCCTTCATTTTTCATATTAGCAATATTATATTTCTTGATCATGGATGGAAAATGAGGTACATCCATAATTTGTATAACTTAAATGTTGTTGTACAGAATACTGTTTTTTTTTTTATCTGTGTTTCATGAACATTGTAGGTTACTTTTCTATTTTTTAATGTCAAGAAAAGGGACTATACCATGTATTTCTTGGTTTCCTATGAAGCTAAACTTTGAACGACTAGTGAGAAGATGGTTTTAAACATCAAATGTTTTCATTTTATAGAAGTTGGGCTAGTATTTTGAACATATTTGATTTTAATGAACAATTACAAGGTAAGAAAAGTAACCTATTCAATATTTTTATTTTTACAAATTTTGGAGTCACCTTTTATAACTCCAATTGTAAAGTTTCTTCTGTAAGGAATGGTAAAAACTAAATATTGAAGGATTGAAATCTTAAGCTGGTTTGTTTGTTTTTAATGATTTTTTTTCTGTACTTGCAAAATAACTTTTTGAATTAATTCAGTTGTTTTTGAATGTACTTTTGTAGGACTTATTGCCGGTATAAATGGTCTAAAGATCGTTTCATCTACAGACAGATTCAAAGTGGTTTGCAAAAAGCTGCAGTTCTAGAAGGTACTGAAAAGGATCCCAATCAGACCATTAAGTTAGATGAAGCATAATTTATGCACATAGTTTTATAGATTATTGGAATTTTAAGTGTACAGTTATAGAAAAATAAAGGCTTTGAAAGCGTGTGAAACATACAGCCTTTTTTATAGCATTAAAAACACATTAAGTGGCGAAGCTACATGTATGTGTGGATGTAATGTATAAAAGATAATAAAAACTTGCATGGACAAAGTACATCAACATGATAAATGGTCCACATGTAATTTTTTAGCAATTATTAGACAAATCTGTAGAATTTATATGGAGAAAATAAAAGGATTGAAATAAACTCCATGGTTTTTGAAGTGTGACAAAGTTAAAACTTAGTTTTTTATATTGACTAAATTTAACATTCACATTAAAGTTAAACAGTCATGTATATCTAACACCAACTATGGCAAGTTATTCATTGTAAAGATACAAATATGCTGTTATATGGTAAAAATATTTTTTCTAAAAACGTGATGTATGTGTTCAATAAAAAGTCAATGCAAATATTTCACAAATAACATTTGATGCACAATATATACCTACCACACTTAGTGAATTGGTTGTACCTTTTTCATTTATGAAAGAATGATAATTAAGACTCAATATTTATTATGCTTTAATATTTTAACTATTTGATTCTAAGCAATAAATTATGATTAAGGCTTTTTTTTGTTTGTTCCCAAAATTGCTATAAAATGAAACCACAAATTTTTCTTTGCACATATATGCAAGCAGGGCCAATAGAAAGTTTGCCAATAATGACAGTGAACATGTTATAACTAAAGATGTTTTTAGTCTACTAATGTTTTGCAATGAAACAATCACATCTTATGTTTAATGATAAAATCTATCAAAAACCCACTTTCATTGGACTTTTCATATTTTGCAAATTTCACTTCTTCAATAAAAAAAAATGCAATTAAAATTCTGTTATACAGAACATTTAAACATTAAAACATTTGTGAAGTAGAAGTTGGGAATATAAAACAAATGCTTAAAAGAAAATTTTCTAATGTTGTTCCCAAATAGAATAATCCACACCCATACTGAAAACTCAATAACCCATCTCTCGTAATGTCAAATGTTCCAGAAAAACTTATTTTACATGGGTAATATTTTGTACATGATTAAGAAGAAAATTATCAAACATCTGTAACCACAAGTTCAGTTCCAATGTACATTTCAAAACAGGGCCAAGGTTAATTAAAAGGATTTTTCAACTTTAAAAGACAACTTGTGTGCCCTAGGAACAACCAGGAATATATTGGATGAAACACTAGAAGGCTCTTAGTTTAACAGGAGGACTTCTCGGAGTTAAGAAGACATTGATTTTACTGGATAGGGATGAGGCAAGATGTGGAAGAATTGTGCAGGACCTGCAGTACATGTTGTGCTAAAAGGGG